TGAGGAACCTCAGACTGTGCGGGACCGGGCCGGCCTTCCAACAGGGAAGAGGTTCTCCTGTCTGAGTGCGGGAAATGTTTCCGTTGTAAATTCCATCTTGATGAACATAACAGATCTCACTCAGGTGAAAAACCATATTCCTGTCCTGAGTGCGGGAAGAGTTTACGTTATAAATGCAGTCTTAATAGGCATAAAAGATCTCACATGGAGGAGAAGCCGCACTCCTGTCCTGAGTGCGGGAAATGTTTTTTCATTGAAATCCATTCTTTCCAAACATCAGAGATCTCACATGGGGGAGAAGCCATATTCCTGTCCTGAGTGCGGGAAATGTTTTTTCAAAGAAGTCCAATCTTTCCAAACATCAGAGATCTCACACGGGGGAGAAGCCGTATTCCTGCTCTGAGTGCGGGGAATTTTTTTCATTGATGTCCAGTTTTTACAGACATCAGAGATCTCACATGGGGGGAGAAGCCGTATTCCTGTTCTGAGTGTGGGAAATGTTTTTCACAGAAGTCCAATCTTTCCAAACATCAGAGATCTCACACGGGGGAGAAGCCGTATTCCTGTCCTGAGTGTGGGAAATGTTTTTCACAGCGTTCACATGTTTGCACACATCAGAGATTTCACACGGGAGAGAAGCCGTTTTCCTGTCCTGTGTGTGGGAAATGTTTTTCACGGAAGTCCCATCTTTCCAGACATCATAGATCTCACACGGGGGAGAAACCGTATTCCTGTCCTGAGTGTGGGAAATGTTTTTCACAGAGTTCACATGTTTGCACACATCAGAGATCTCACATGGAGGAAAAGCCGTATTCCTGTCCTGAGTGTGGGAAATGTTTTTCAGACAAGTCCCATCTTTCCAGTCATCAGAGATCTCACACAAGGGAGAAGCCGTATTCCTGTCCTGAGTGCGGGAAATGTTTTTTACAGAAGTCCGATCTTTCCAGACATCAGAGATCTCACACGGGGCAGAAGCCACTTTCCTGTGCTGAGTGAGGGAAATGTTCCGCACTGAAGTCCTGTCTTCCTGTACATCAGGGGTCCCACACAACCCTGGAGGTGTATTAGTGCCTTGAGTGCGGGAAATGTCTTCTAGATGAATGTTGCTGGACATCCCAGCTCTCATGTGGGGGAAGAAGCACACCCTGATATACACCTCAGATATACTCCATGGCTGATCTTCATCATGGAAGAAACAGTTCATAAGGAGATCAGAGGCCCCCAAAGACATGGATGAAGTGTGGGACCGGGTTGGCCATTGATGGCAGGAGAAGAATAAAAATGGGGTCCTGACCTAGAGCACTGGGCTGACTTCTCATTGGGGTGCAGCCTATATACTAGAGATGGTTTGCACCTACATGGAAGGGGGTCTGCTGTGCTGGGGGAGGGGTTTATGGGAAGGCTGGAGGAGTATATAAACTAGGATGGAGGGGGGAGAGAGAATTTGATTATACTTATTGGGGGGTGGAATGGGGAATGATGGGGGAGGGCTATGGCAGATGGGAAGAAGGTTCCCATGTTACAAACAACCAGTGGAATTGGTACCAATTTTATGAAAATAAAAAATACACAAAATCCTTGTGAGCAAGGTGTCAGTGAATGGACGAGGTGTCGGTGAATGAACAAGGCGTCGGTGAATGGACGAGGCGTTGGTGTCGGTGAATGAACAAGGTGTCAGTAAATGAACAAGGTGTCGGTGAATGAACAAGGTGTCGGTGAATGGACAAGGTGTCGGTGAATGAACAAGGTGTCGGTGAATGGACAAGGTGTCGGTGAATGAACAAGGTGTCGGTGAATGAACAAGGTGTCGGTGAATGGACAAGGTATCGGTGAACAAGGGTGGATAGATGGACCCGGAACTTGAAGAAATTCCCCACCAAGGCATCAAAGGTTGTGCGGCTCTAAACAAGGCTGGGGAAGCCCCACCAATACTGGAAAGTGAAACAAAAAGCGCACCAACCTTGTGCATTACCTCAGTAAAATGTGATTTTATTGGATGTGAAAATCTCCTCACAGAGAAGTATAAGAAGCGTGTAAAGTCCTTAGTGAGACTTGACCAATCAGAGACCAGCGCGAGTCTAAACACGAGGGAAGGTTCTCAGAGTCGACGCGTTTCGAGTCTCTTCTTCATCAGAGCTGACTTGGCAATGACAGCCCTCTTCAATATATAACAAAATAAATCTGTGACTCCTAAACTAAATCCCACCAAAAAGTCACACTTTCTCCCCAGAAAGTACAATATAATAAATTACCTTTTTCTGTAAAATTCAAATACAATAAAAATAATTACAAATGATCACCAAATACAATCATAAAATGTCCAATTCAAATGTGTCCAACAAAATCCAAAAGTCCAAATTCCAGACTTCCATCCAGTAAGAAGGATAATAATCCTAATTGTTCCACCAAAACCTCAAAACAAAGAAATAAACGATATAGTGCATTCCCCTTATATACATAAATCCTCTAATTCCTGCAAATCACAAACATTCAAAATGTGCAAAAAACACAAAAAATCTCTATATATATAATACAGAAATTGTGAGACACTCCGACCGTTCCACCACTGTGTGCGCTCCGTGACCGTTCCAACACTGTGCGCACTCCGTGACCATTCCACCACTGTGCGCACTCCGTGACTATTCCAACACTGTGCACTCCATGACCATTCCAACACTGTGTGCACTCCGTGACCATTCCAACACTGTGTGCACTCCGTGACCGTCCCAACACTGTGTGCACTCCGTGACCATTCCAACACTGTGTGCACTCTGTGACCGTCCCAACACTGTGCACTCCGTGACCGTCCCACCACTGTGTGCGCTCCGTGACCGTCCCAACACTGTGTGCGCTCTGTGACCGTTCCAACACTGTGTGCACTCCGTGACCATCCAAACACTGTGCACTCCGTGACCATTCCAACACTGTGTGCACTCCGTGACCATCCCAACACTGTGTGCACTCCGTGACCATTCCAACACTGTGTGCACTCTGTGACCGTCCCAACACTGTGCACTCCGTGACCGTCCCACCACTGTGTGCTCCGTGACCGTTCCAACACTGTGTGCTCCGTGACCGTTCCAACACTGTGTGCACTCCGTGACCATCCCAACACCGTGCGCACTCCGTGACCGTTCCAAACTGTGTGCACTCCGTGACCCAAAAAACAGTAGTACTAAATACTATTACCCTCTGTGAGTATTTGTACGCATATTCAATACTCTGGAATGAAAACTCCTCCCATTCCTTCATTTCCGGGATTAGACTTCCAAGGTCCTCACAAAGATCAGAAGACTCTTAGACGGATCACCAAGGCAACGGGACACATTTATCAGCAACTTACATCTGAAAAAAGAACTTCCAGCTCTTTCAGTAGCTGTAATATAACCAGCAATCAATGGCTGAAAACCATATGTTTCCAACCAACAAAATGGCCGCGGCGATACTTCCGGTTAGTGTGCGTGCGTCTTGATGTCAAATCCCCTAACGCGTTTCGTCACTTCTGGACTTCATCTGGAGGGATAAGGATGTCTCTTCAGCCGCTCTTTTATTTGAATGCCTCTCAATAGCCGGAGGCCATGTCCGCCATTTTCAATAAGGGCAAAAACCATCCTTATAAGTTCCTTTCTCAAACGCATTTTAAACAACTATGTAACAAACCTTTCTGGATCGGTAACAACGTCATCACATGATAGAAAACATAGACATTAGCCATACAGAAAACATGAAATCACATGAATTATAGAACATCCTCTTCTCAGCCCAAAACGTTCCGTTACATATATACCTCCATATATCCTATACCATATACTTCTATTAATAGTCCCCATTAACATCATTATTATATCTATGACACCTACCCCATCCTCTACTGCCCTCTACTGGTCATTAACCCCTCGCCTACCGGGCACTTCTACCGCCTTCCTGCCCCCCGGGCACTTCTACCCCCTTCCTGCCCACCGGGCACTTCTACCCCCCTTCCTGCCTACAGGGCACTTCTACCCCCTTCCTGCCCACCGGGCACTTCTACCCCTTCCTGCTTACCGGGCACTTCTACCCCCCCTTCCTGCCTACAGAGCACTTCTACCCCCTTCCTGCCTACAGGACACTTCTACCCCTTCCTGCCTACAGGACACTTCTACCCCCTTCCTGCCTACAGGGCACTTCTACCCCTTCCTGCCTACAGGACACTTACCCTACCCCCTTCCTGCCCCACCGGGCACTTCTACCCCCTTCCTGCCTACCGGACACTTCTACCCCCTTCCTGCCTACCGGGGCACTTCTACCCCCTTCCTGCCTACAGGACACTTCTACCCCCTTCCTGCCTACAGGACACTTCTACCCCCTTCCTGCCTACAGGACACTTCTACCCCCTTCCTGCCTACAGGGCACTTCTACCCCCTTCCTGCCTACAGGGCACTTCTACCCCCCTTCCTGCCCACCGGGCACTTCTACCCCCTTCCTGCCTACCGGGCACTTCTACCCCCTTCCTGCCTACAGGGCACTTCTACCCCCTTCCTGCCTACAGGGCACTTCTACCCCCTTCCTGCCTACTGGGGCACTTCTACCCCCTTCCGGCCCCCCGGGCACTTCTACCCCCTTCCTGCCTACTGGGCACTTCTATTCCCCTTCCTGCCTATCGGGCACTTCTACCCCCTTCCTGCCTACAGGGCACTTCTACCCCCTTCCTGCACTACCGGACACACTTCTACCCCCTTCCTGCCTACCGGGCACCTCTACCCCCTTCCTGCCTACTGGACACTTCTAGCCCCTTCCTGAGTGCGCCCTACCGGGAACTTCTACCCCCTTCCTGCCTACAGGGCACTTCTACCCCCTTCCTGCCTACAGGGCACTTCTGCCCCCTTCTGCCTACAGGGCACTTCTACCCCCTTCCTGCCTACAGGACACTTCTACCCCCTTCCTGCCTACAGGGCACTTCTATCCCCCCCGTTCCTGCCTACCGGGCACTTCTAACCCCCTTCCTGCCTACCGGGCACTTCTACCCCTTCCTGCCTACAGGGCACTTCTACCCCCTTCCTGCCTTATTCCAAATCCTCTACTGGTCATTAACCACTTGAGCTCCAGAGAATTTACCCCCCTTAACCTCCTTAGCGGTATTCCCGAGTGTAGCTCGGGGTAAAATTTGAGTACCAAGAGCGGTAACCCCGAGCTACACTCGGGCTTACCATGCGGCGTTCTCCGGGGGTCCCTGCAGCACTTACCTTGTCCTTCACTCCCGCGATGTGTCCCGGCTTCTGTGTTCCGGTCCCTGTGATGTCGGGACGTACGGAACCGGCGGGAAATTTGAAATTTTTAAAAAATGTCATTTTTGCTGTCATTGCTGTTTCAATGCATTTCACATAACATTGTGTCCCGAGTGCTTTGTCCGGCACCTGCCTGCATTTTTACCGCCCTTCTGACTGGAAACTGTGAAACGTCCATGGCGTCCAAAAAGCGT